AAAAAACTGGGCGAAGCGGTCCACACCAAAAAAGTCAGGGAGCAGATTGCGCGGAGGGGGGCGCTCCCCGTCGGGGACCCCGCTTCCCAACGAACACTACTCATATTTATTGTTCACCATCCTTCTGAGAGCTGATATGAAATCTCACTGAATTTTGTTTTTTGAATCGGTTTTTGTGTCAGTCTTAAGGCTATTTTTTTCTTCTCTACATTTTGTTCATTACGATTTTGTTTTGTTTTGTTGAAGTTGCTGAGTTTTGTTGAATGATTTTGAATAAACTGTTTTCTGATTTCTGTTGGTTCAATCAGAGCGTATTAAACATGTCACACTTCTGTACTTCAAAAGTTACTTTTCAATTTCGGGACCCTCCTGGGATTGATAAACGATTTCAGGATTAAATCCCGATCTCGGGATTGAGCGGGATTTTGCAAACCCTAGTCAAATTAGATCAGAATTTCGAATGAGATGAATAATTTCGATCGCCTGTTTGCCAGGTTCCGAAATGGTTGTTTTTCATATGACTTTTATAAAAGTTAACTTTTGCGAGGTTCCAGGTTTTAGTATCAGCATTCCAGCAACCAAAACTTCAACTATCGCTGACCACCAGATTGTGCTGCGTTAAACGGAGCTATAAATATCTCGTAGTACTACGATATCAAGTTGATAATTGTATACGTTGACATATCTTGTGGTAAGGAGAAAAAACGTTCAAATAATTGAAAAAACAACAACAATTCTAAATAATATTGATAACAATAATGATATTGATGGTGATAATTACAAATGAATAGTGATAATAATAGTGAAGAGTCAGAGCAAGTGTGCAATAAACAACAAACTGAATTCATACAATTTAATGAAAAATAACGCAGCAAATTATTATTGCTATATAGATAAGTGAAACAATATCAGTGAAGTGAATTTCTCAAACGGATTTCCTCGTTTGCAAACGACAAAAGCATAGGAAGCGAACTTCATCAGTTCAGTTTTATTTCTAGCGGTGACTTAACTAAAAGCGTTTATAACTTATCGTGAAAACATTCAAGATGAAATTCTAAAAAATTGTCCCTCAACAAATTTAAAAACAATTCTTAGAATTGTTTCAATCAGCAACCATCACTGTTCATATTATATTATGATGACGCTTCGTTTATGTCCAATATCTTTCAACTAGTTTAAGGACAACGAAACAAACGAAGAAATATACTATATACAACAGATTTTAATACAATAATAATTTATGCGTGTAAATAGAGTCTGTAGTTGAATGTTGAGTAGATCTTCATGTGACAGGTCTTCATTTAATGAATTAGATTCTTGTTAGAAACCATTCTCTGGAATAGCCAATTGATCATTTTGAAGTGCTCGAGATATTTTGATCGCTTTCGGCTGAATTGTTCGTTGGACTTTCAGCAGTTTCATCAATTTCTTCAACTGGCAATAAACTGCAACGCTCATCTGGTTCGCCGGTAGCTGTCGCTCCAGAGGCCTTTTTACTTGAACCAGCCGTACTCTTATTCAACGGAATATCGGCTCCTGGAGCTGCAAAAAGAAAAAATTCTTCTTTTGATTTCAAACAAATCGAAAATTTGTTCCTTCTTCACCGTATGCTTCTTTTTTTTGAAGTGACAATGCGAATTTTTTTCCTCAATAAATCGATCGCATACACACAAAGACACAAATGAACACAAGTTTACGTCGGAGCAATGAAATGAAAAGAAAAACAGTTCATACTTAACTAGCATGGCATATCATTATCAATATAAATACATTGTGAATAAATATGAAGAAGCGATGAATGCATTAGTTCGACATGCAACAGTTAAATTCCTCGACAAACAATCACGCTTCGAGTGTTACAACATTCACACGAACTACTACTAACTGTAATGCGAGATGGATTAGTCGATGTAAAGAATGACGACAATGCTAGACGGGCTGAGAGAGTAAGAATGAAGGTTAGCAACAAAAACAGCGATAAGCACACGTTTTTAGCTGCTTCAATGCTAGTGATTTGCAACAACTGCTAAAACAATTTTAAGAGAAGACAAATATGTACTCGTCATTGCTCACATTGTCATTGACGATGACTGGATTGGAAGTGCACCGTTACCTAGGACGAATAAGGACCGGGGAGGGATTCTTCCCATGGGCAAGGTTCATTTGCAGTGATCGATCGATCAGGCGAACCGATGTACATAAGACGACGAACAAGGAAGAATGCAACTAATAACGACAACAACAGAAGTAATCATAACGACAACACTGATAATGAGAAGCAGAGAAAATTTCGTGACTTTCTCACTCCACGTCTTCCATTTCTAAATCGAAGACAGCGAACAAATAAGGCGAAAAAAGAATTTCTTAGAAACAGAACGAATTCATTTGCTTCATCAAGTAATGAACGACAACAGCATAAAGCATCAGTATAAGCTGTACACCCTCGTTTCATCTACAATCTCAGTCTAAGTTCATCAACAAAGGGATAGACTTCAATTGAGCAATTTACCGAACGAATTTATTTCGATCCCACAAAATTCAACGTTGACCATTCAGAATGTGTAAATAAACTGTTAATGAAGTGAGCAACTGCAACTGAGTTTTACTGCACCATGAGCAACCATATAGTAAATCGGAGTGAATGGTTAAAGAACAAAAAATTTGATCATGAATGTTGTTATTATTAGATTTAGATGGACAGAAATAAATTTTACAAACCAGTTAATGTTATTTCAGGAACAACAAATTTTTTAGCGATGCGCCGCTTATTTGCGCCATTAACATTATCACATCTCTCCTCCTCATCAATATCAACTTCATAATCTGAATCAGAAGCAGAATTCGCATTTCCTTCATCATCATCACAATTCGTCGCTGTTTTAAGCGCTGTGCCTGAAGTTTACAATGATGGATGAGTGGAATCTAAATGGTAACAACGATTCCCTTGACCGTTTATTACTAATCTTGGTTTATCGATCAACAACCAACCAATGAGGAGAAACAAACAGTATTAACTTTGTGAATATATTGCAACGAGAGGAATGAGAAAGAAACAACCAAAAAGAATATAAATGAGATAAGGAGAACAAGTAACGGAATGGAGAAGGAAAAAAAGAAGAACAGACAGCATTCACGTTCTGCAAGAAAACTTGTAACATTTTTTGACATGCAATCGTCAGCGTCTGAGTGTAAAATAGGTAATTGGAGCATTCGCCTTTTCGTGCACTCGTGACGAATAATATTCATGCAAGTTCATTCCCTCAATACTGTTATCATCATTCATAATTGTCATCATATTATCTTCATTATCATCTGATAATAAGTTGTTATGGAATTCATACGAAGTGATATTGAGCAGACAAAAATCGGTAATAATACTAATAATAATAACACTAATAATAATGATTTTAAAAAATAATAATAAATAAAAATGATAATGGTAAAAACGATAATATTAATGTTGACAGTAATAATAGTGATAATAACAATAATAAATAATAACAATAACAAAACCAATAATAATGAGAATCAGGAATATGATGGTAGTGATTGATGGTGAATGAATTGAGCTGCTCATCATTATCGCTGTTTTGATGAATACCATCGTGATCGTTATCATTGTCATTAACTGTTCAACAAAATTTTTTCATCTACCTAACTATTTTCTTTAGCTAAGAAATTTCGGATTATTTCGTTACTATGCTGCTGCGTTTCGACCCAAAGTGACCCAAATAAAACATCAAACAGAATGAGTGAAATAAAATTCAATGAAAAAAGTCGGCATGAAACAACCGAGAGAAATGACCAATTGCTGAACGAGGGAATAAACCGAGAGAAAGTCTCTTGTAGAATGAACCAAAAATGAATAAATGCGTATGATTGAATTACAAATGAATGAACTTCGTACCTTTTCTTTCTTTATGAAATGATGAATGTGGTTTTATTGTTGTTAATCGTTGCGGTTGATCTTTCGATGGGAGAAGCTTAAGTGCAAGACCTTCTTCAAGCTCTTGTTCAGTGCTTTTCCGTCGTGGATGACGTGGTGCGTTCGGAGGTGACGATGCAGCAACGTTGAATTCGTTTGAATCGCTAGTAATCAAAAATCGTGGTCGACTGACTGCAAATGTCAAATGAAATGCAATTTAAACAAGAATGTGCACGCAAACATCTTCTTTTCTCATAATTGACATGACCTCTTTACGAGCTTCAACTCGAACAAAACCTTTCTCAACAACAATACGTCAATTTAGATTGTTCAGAAAGAATTCGAACGATTCTTTGTTTATGATGAGAAATGAAATATGTTCTGAAACGAACAAACAGAACTTTGCAGTTGCAATTCAGTGGTAACATGTCGAATTATGTATGACGGCAAATGAATGAATTAATTCGAAGAAATAGATGGATAAAGGTTTTCCAAGTTTGTATCTCGTAACCGAATAACAGATTTTTCGATTTGATTTCAATTTTCTATGATCATTAATCGCTAACTTAAATTGGTCTCATTGAGTGACATCCTCGGTGCATGGTATCTACCCTCGCGTTTTTGCTCTCGTTGTTGCGCAGTTGATCGGCTATCTCTCCGACCATAAGTATCACGATCTGTTTGCACTCCACCTCGACTTTTACGCCTCAATGGATTCATTTTTCCAGCAGCTCCTTTACAATAAGGATACGTCATATGATAAGAGGCGTCGTCGAGTGCGTCAAATGAAGTATTCTGAAAGCGAAATTCAACGCAAATATAACAAAGCGAAATTATCGCAAATGAACAGATAAGGGAATAACAGATAAAATGCCACATCATCACCACTAATTTCATCCTGTGTCCACTAAACCAACAAATTATTTTCTATTCATTATGAACCAAACACATCGAATAAATTTATTCACTCAAGTTCAGTGATTTGCTACATACATCACGAAAATCGTAAGCAGCACGAGAAACATGTGGTAGATTGTCAATACCAAGCAAATGACGGCTGTAAACACCTTGAGAAAGTGGCTGAAAACAATTATATTTAAAGTAATCATCATCTATGGATAAAGAACAACAAAAGTATTCAATCGCTTAGAAAGCAACTTTGCATCTTCTTTCACCTGAATTGTCACAAATAATGCAAAAATCTCACACCTGAATAGACATTAAAATGGACCCCTGTTCCCAACGGAACAACACCTCCCCCTTCAGTTTCCTGTTGCAAATTACAAGAAAGGTACGATGAAATGAAACGAAAAGAAGTAAGGTGTCGTAAAAATGCCAACCGAATTGACTGAATCAAGTTTGTCGCGAACGAAACGACTCAAAGACTGATTACGTGGTAATGAGGTCGGTGTTCGCGGTGATAGAGTGCTTCCTGTTGAAGGCTGCAACTCACGATCACGATCCACATAAGCATCGTTCGTAAACGTCCTGAAAATATCCGGAAATGAACTCAAAACAAAGTAAAAACGTCAGGGTTACACCAATCATAGTAATGTTAGATATAGTATTGAGAGTAAAAATACTAATAGCGATAATGCAATTATTAATAATAACAATAATAATGCGGATAAAGACGATGATGATGATAACTAACGAATCGTCAACTCCGGCTTCTACCGTTTCAATGCCTTCAGTGACCAAATTCGCACGACTTTGTGTGGCTGGTAGACCAACAAAACTGCCATATTGTTTGAGATGTTGTTCAGCTTCTTTCATCTGAATTTTAAATTCATTCAATCAGCGTTCGTAGACTTCATTCAGATATTGTTTTAATCAGATTTCATCTCCTCAAGCGGTTGTTTCAAACGAACAAACTTTCAAACGTATGAATCCGAAAGCCACCTGAATATGTTCGTTATAATCCACCAATCTAGTTGCACTTGATTTGGTATGAACCATCAAATGTGGTTTAATGTAGCTATCATTGAATCGATTGTACGCTTGACGTAACTGTAACAATTATTCTTCGTTTGCTTTGAATAAAGTGTCATCTTGAGTTTTTTTCTTCATAGTTTTTCGTTTTTTAGTTTTTCAGATACAAATTTTAGTTTTTCACTTCTTAATTCATAGACCTTTATTGCTAAAATAACGATTTTGGGATGATGAATAGGAGAATTGTTCGTATCACAAATGGATGCATTCAATCGTAAGACTCAATAAGAAGAAGCGTACCCAGTAGTGGCCGCGATAACCAGTGATTCCTTCAACCCCGCACATCATATTGTTAACTACCTAAACAACAACAACGATAATAATAACTCTTAAACAGCACAGACTAACTGCTGTTTCTTTGACTGTAATTATGTATACATCATCCTTCATTTAAGCAACAAATCAAAATTACTTCTGTTGACACTTCGGTTAATAAGCAATTAAAACAAAACGTGCCACATAAGTACATATCTTATGAAAAAGAAAGACTATGTGGTTATTTGTTGAGCATAATGATTGATAAGTAATAACTGAATTAATAATGGATCGAATTCGACGTTGGTAAACAACCTATTGTGGTTGAGATCGCAATTAGAAGAAACAATCAAACAAATAGGAAATCGCTCACATTCTCGCTGACCATCTCAAAGATGGTCTTTTTATGCACTTCGTTTTGTTTCACTTTTAGACGTTTGACCAGCCATTTGATAGACAGACCCTAAAGTAAAATAACAAACGGATCGAGTGCATGATTGAATTAAAATCTGCTTGCCTTTGTGAGTAACAAGGCAGATATATGGGTAGCACCTACCTGAACAAACACGGTGAAAAGAATGACAACAATTGTACATGAAGCGAACATATTTTTTGCTGAGATGACCTGTAACAAATAACTTTGATGTTTCATTTGTGAAGTGATACAAATTTTAAACCGAATAATACGGTTTTGAAGAGAAAAGAACGAGATGCCGAATGGTTTGAGACATTTGGGAAAAACTGAAAGGCTTGATTACCTTTCCGTATTCAGCTACAACAGATATCATATTTCAAGGTGACAAATCACCGTCACAAGCTGGATATCCCTAACAAAAGCTACTCGATATAAAGCTTTCAACAAAATTAATCAATCAAACAGTCAGTTTACTTGTCCATCCAACGACATTACTAAGCCATAGCAAACCGCGCCGCGAATACCACCGTAACTCATGATGAATTGATCAACAATACCAATTTTTTGCACACGTCTCACGTTCAGTAGTTTTGTGAAGAAGAATACACCTTGAAATTGAGTAGTGTAAACTGAATCAGTTTGCATGAATGATCCACCTCATAATATGTCGTACAATTTTGCAGGTGAGCAACAAGAAATATCATTACATATATTGCGAAACTCACCAATAAAACGTTGTAGAAGACAACTGATGACCGTGACAGTTATGAAAACTATATCCCAATCGTGACTCTTCGAAACGGCTGATATACCCAAATATACGAAAATTACGGCTTCGCAACTGAAACGAAAGAAAGTAATTCGTATTTGGGTATACGTTCAATTACTTTAATAATAATCGCAATAATAATAGCTATAATTGTTTCATTTGACTTGTTCATCACTTTATCGGCATTTTGCTATTGTGGCCGTTGACACTGCTTTTATGCAAGCAAATTTTGAAGCGTTAATTAACCTCGATGAGAGTGTTTTCATGAAATATTGCACGGTAACGAGCGATTTCCATGACAGATTGCCGACAACGAATTGCTTCATTGTTAGACCGCACATGACGATACTGCAATGCAGAGACGAGTTATTCCAATTAAATATGTGCAGTGCAATACATGTGCCCTTCCATTGTGTGTACTAGTGTTGAGAACAGACAGATTTTTTTCGGTGGTCCCTGACCGAATGCCCACTGATAGGAAATTTTTAGACAACGGTCGGTTGTTGATTGGCAGTAACCGAAGTTCAGTTTGCCGAGGTCCCCGACTGAACAAGCCCTTTCGGTTTCGGTCGAAGGTCAGTGAAAATTGGGAGTCACCGATTTTCGGCGGCCTCCGAGTTTCGAGGGGATAATGAAAGTCGGTCGGTAATTACCGACCTAATTTTCGGGGTTCCTCGCGGTTCCATGGCCACCAACTCAATTCTAGACAATACCGATACAAACTGGCAGCTTTTAATATACGAATAAAAAGATGAGCAAATGTTTAACTGTTGACTGGAGAGGATTTTTGTAAGCTAAGTTAATCTTAAGTAGCGAGACATTTGAAATTCTCTTCATAACTTCTCATAACATTCAAATTAGATAGAAATTCAAATGAACTAAAAAATAAGAAAGAAGCGCTAACGTAAAAGAAAACATACGCTAGAATTCCGGACATGGCGACCATTTCTGAGGAGAGGTAAGCAAGATACGGAAACAGAAGGCATATGAGCGGTTGTACAACATTCAGATGTTGAGCATGCCTTGATGAATTGTATTGATGAGAGATTATATAAAAAATAAATAAATCAATGAGCTTTAAGCAATGCCTGTTCAAGATAAACTTCATAAGGATGCACATTTTCCACAGCTACGGAATATAGTTGAAAAAAAGATGAATTATTCAAACGAGCACCTGGATGTATGGATGAATTTATCAAATTTACAAATACTATCAAAAACGAGGAAAGTATTAATACTTGTTGATATTTGATGACCTACACCAAAAAGGCATTTGCTTCTAGACCATTGGTATTGAGTTATTGTCATTGTAATAGCTGCTGACTGAACCAGTAAATGAAGTGAATGAGTAGTGAAAATGCAGCTAACTTTGTTGTGAATCCGGTGAAGAGCGCCCAAATTAGACCAATTACGATTCCGCCTAATGAAACAACAAAGAACGATGCTCCAGCGGTTACATAGTCGGTCGAAACCAAATTGCCAGCACTAACCATCGCGTTGAACGTTTGATAGAGCACATGAAAATGAGGAAGAACCGATTTTATAAATATATAAATAATGTACCTTAGATAAGTAAAAATTATTCAAATGAGCACCTAGATGTACGGATGAATCTTACAAATACTATCAACTGTTCTAGTAGTTAGGAGTAGTGTTCGTAGGGGAACGAGGTCCCTATCGGTGACCCCGACGGGGAACGCGGGGAGCGTTCCTCCCCCCTGCTCAATTTGCTCCCCGACTTTTTTGCGGCCCCCCGTCCAGTTTTCTCTCCGGGGAGGACGGGGAGCGCGAACTTCGCGAAAATCGCGAACAATCAACTGAAAATGGTGAAATACCGCTGCAACACTTCCAATATTGTCTTGTTGTTCGTTTTGAAATGTGAATATGAGGTGTTCTTGAAAGAAAACTACTTAAAAAAAGAAGAAAAATCTTTAAAAAATTGAATTTCTCTTAAAAAATTGAGCTGAAAAGCTCTCCGTCCTCTCCATCGAGGAACACGGGAAGCCGTCTTTCCCCGACGGGGTCCCCCCGTGCAGTTTGCTCCCCGACCTTTTTGCGGGGACCCCTCTTCTCATCCGTTTTTCTCCTCCCGGGGACCAATCCCGTGCGAAAACTGCTCCCCGACGAACACTAGTTATGAGTATAAGTATAAGAATATAACATTGATATAAAAAATAGTAACAACTGAAGTGAGTATAATTGGTAAGATAGTACACGAAAACGAACAATTGTAACTGCGTCATTAAGAAGTGATTCACCAAAAACACATATATACAATAACTGATTGACATGAATCTCTTCAAAGACACAAAGTACGGCCACTGGGTCGACGGCTGAGATGAGCGTTGAGAAGATGAGGATTTCAATCATCGATGGCTGTATCTTGAACCAACCACGTATCAAATACAGTGTGAAACCTTTAAAAATCGTATACTACTATCGCTATGATTATGCGCCGAAATGTCTTGAACGAACAGCCTAATAATAGACAACGATGGATGTAACGATCACTTGCAGAACTTACCGATCGAGAACGTATTATACAATGTTCCGCAGACCGCATATGTCATTATCGTTCCAAAGTTTCTGAAATTCGTTTCACATAGAAAAGCGTACAAATAAGCAAAAATGCTACTGATAAAGAAGCTAACAATAGCACATACCGAAAAAAATCTTTGTTAGGCATGAAATATCCAGCATCTAGCGCAATTGGTGGTAGCAGATACAAGAAGAACCAATCCGGTTTTAAGTAGACCTCAATCAGATTAAGCAAATGTTCAACAATTTTCTACGTATAACAAAATTCCATTCATTTGGTTAAATGAACGATGGCAAACAACTCGTAGACTGATAACCAATTAGTTGTTTCAAAAAGGTAGCAAGTGAATAAGTTTCTGTTTTACGGAAAAAAAAAACGAAATCTAACTGGGCTCACCTCATCTGGATAGATAAGATGAAACAAATAACCGAAAAAGAGACCAAGCACGATCAGCAACGCCGAATCGGGCAATAAATTATGCATTCGTTCGAAGCTATGGAATGCTGAAATTGATACATTTGTAATTTCATTTGAGCAGAAAATGTGGTTTTTTGAATGGATACGAGACTCTAAATGAATATGAATAAAAACAGTTTTTTTTTTAACAACAACGAAAACAAAAAAAAGTACGAGATAAGAAGCAAAAACGGACAAATTTTTGCCATTGTCACCAACATGAACCAGAATGCGATTGTTAGAGGTACGCTGACATGTTCCCAATGCATTTTGAAGAGTGTTATGCCGTTCACATTATGATTATTCGGTTGATCTCCACCCTTCTTTTCCTGAGTACCTTCCAAGCTAGAACTGCCCAAAGACGACGACACTTCACTATAGGTCGTTGTTTCTGGATCATCATTCTTCAATAAGCAAAGTATGTTTTTAACTGAACGACAACAAATTGCATGTTGAAAGAACATTGCCGTCAGGAACGACGAAAAACTGACGGGATGAAGGAAAGAATCCATAGACATGTAGCCATTATGACTGATGGATGAATCAAAAAAAAAACAACGTACATGCAAATTCAATGGATCAAAACCATCGACAGGATCCGCTGAAGTGAATGGTGTGATTACCACCAATAGCAGTAGTGTTAAGGCTAGCAGTGAACAGCTGATAGTTGTATGTGCTTGATATGTTAATGCTTTTCTTGCTGGAATACATGAGGATAATAATGATGATGGGCTCCTTGATGGTGTCTTGACCGTGATTTTTCGCTGCATTGTTAGCCAAGGGAATGCTGTGTTATCACTCGCAAAATGCACCTAAAACGAGGTTCTTCCCTGATGCAAGACACCAAAAAAAAAGATGACGCGACGAGTTCATCTTAAGGCAGTTCTTTACAAATAACGAAACCAATAGCAACAACCACCCGAAATGATGATGAACAACGGTGAATCGAACAACTCAGAGCGTACGTATCGTCAACTGTGATCATACAACTATCGATCGCATGTGTCTTTTATTTATTTGATGCGTTTTTAGCATGAACATTCGACTGTAGATTTACGAGGATAAACTGATGAGGCTATGTTGATCAGGCTTAAGGGTAAAGTTATCAATTATGTAAGCATTATCAATTATCTCTATTCATACCAAAATTTCAGTGTGCACGTTCCTTAATTAATAATTGAAAATATGCACATGGTATGACAGTTTCGCTATGGAAAGTAACAAGGAAAACACAGGAGTCGAACGAAATTACATGCAATAGGGTTGGAGGAGAGGAGGTATTTGGAAGTGAATAATGAATTAGTGTTGAGAAAAGATTTTGAAAGCTTTGCTTGGCTAGTTGGGTTTGGGCATCATCACTTGAGCATCATAAACGATTATTTAGATGCAATAAGAGCATTAACAAAAGAATAAAATGAACCAGAAGATAACTCAAAGATACGATATTCAGTGAATGATAATGATGACGACGGTGATGAATGTATATCAAAAAGGTAAGAAACTGAAGATGGAAGTTGTCCTTGATGGAATGAAATAATCATCAAAAGACGAATGTCGCCTGTGATTTCAAATCTTTTTGCTTCACAGAAACTAGATTCAACGACTGAACCAAAAAAAGGACGGAAAGAATATGTATGCACTTCGTTCTGAGAAACATATTCATTCATTCATAGAACGAAACGTTTCCCAAATTAACAATGCACAATAACCGCCCAAATTACGTTACTAACAAAGATGTCTTACTGATCGTGAGCATTCCATGAATCATATAGCATGTATAAAAAGAAAATTTTATCGTTCTATTCTTTTCATGGTATCTCTACATATCTACAACTCAAACTACATATTTCTGGTTCAGCAATCTCAATTACTGAACAAGAATGCGTTAAGTGAGCGTTTTTTTTGCGATCTGCTTCGATAATTCGCCGATTGTGATGCACTCGACGAGTAGTTTCCGCTTGTGAAAAGCATTAAAACAGATCGTTGTACTTCTCTGCAAAATTATTTCCAGTTTGATGAAAATTCTCATCACTTTTAATCCAAGCAATTAAATTTTTTCACTTTTTTTTCACCACTCAATAATTTCACTAATCTTTATAGTGACATGATTTTTCGAGAAATGATGAAAAATACTCCTTATAATCCGAAATCAAATCTAGAGTTACGTTTAGACGGTGAGCGGTTGGTTTGTCGACCGTTCTATGCGATCGGTAAAATGTTCGTCATTGTTGGGATTGTTTAACGGATTGTTGTTGGTATTCGGCTGGATTTAGTTATGCAAATTATCTATGGCAATAGGCACTCGTTATTGGTTGGTTGTGGAGTGCTTGATACGCCGACTGCTATGGATCTACTCGGTTAATCGTTTATTACTGATAACGAAAGATTACTGATTCACTACTCTTGGTTGTTCCAAACAACTACTCTGAACAATCGTTGGACAAGTGTTCAATTGATCAATCGGAATGTATTTTCGGGCTCCTTTCGAGTCCCTCTCCCCAGAAATCATTGGGCAATATGGAAGAGTAGCCCAAAACCTCTGTGCTTGCCAGATCAATAATCCAAGTTCGAATTTCATAAAGACAGATGATTCCCAACGCTATTATCGTCAGCTGCGTCGAAAGAAGAATGCCAAGGAAGGAAGAATGTGATACTAGTGATATTGGTGATAACAGAGAGGCATAAACTTGTAATGAGTTGAATTGCTGATTAAATAAATAAATCCGAAAATTATCCTAACAATTTCGTTCAAGATCTAATAGAATCCAAGAAAGCAGTAATCATAGTGTGAAGTCTAGTTGTTGTGGTTACTTTCCTTCTTGAATTTTATACTTTCATTTTTTACACTGAATTCCTTTCAAGCTATTTCATGAAATGACAAAATTTGATTTCATTCTCATGAGATGGAAATGTTGGCGCCGACCTCGCATGTGCATATTATAAAGTTTTCACGATCAACCAACAACGGATCGTCACAAGTTACGAAAGACATGAAGAAAAAAAGAAAAGAATCTATCCGAATATTATTTCTGTAGTTGAGTAAAGAAGAATTTTCGATTTCATTTTATCATTCTCACGAATCCTTTCTTTACTCATAATCAAACACCTTTCAAATAGCTACCACATCAAATACGTCCAACCCTTCCCCCTCCCGCTCTCCTTATTACCAAAATTAAATGATGCACAAAAATAAGCAAAAGGACTAAATGTATGCATGTGCAAGTTCATTGCCCATTCATGTAGATAATACTCAAGTGCGCATTAACATTTCAGTATTTGTATCAACACCCGATCTGTACCTCGAGCAACCAACTATCAGCAGCAATACTTCACTCGATTTGTCTTTACTTCGTATTGCCAAAACTGAAATGAACTTCCTAAGAAACTGGGATCGAGGTAAAGTAAATTTCAAAACTAATCGACACTGATAGTAAGAACAGCTATGTTTATGTCAATGTCCTCAATCTAAGAACATCAATCAATGTCCTCGAAGTCAATTGCGTTTCCATGACAGTCGTGTCTATAAGAACGAGCGCTTACCGCTAAATCATTACTAACCTCTTACCATTAACTCATTATTGTGTCTACGAAAAATATGACCATTTTTATTTCTTTTTGGATATTTTCATTTTTGTTGATTGTTAATTTCTTTTGGGTTTTTTCTAATTGTTTGAACCAATCATTTCTTCGTTCGCTTCTTATTGTTAAGAATGAATTGCCAAACGACACTGAACAATTACTGCGGGGATTATTGGTTTAATTTCATTTTTATATTGTTAAAATTCCAACGTCTACTTCTTCAACAGACATCAGCATTATCCCGTCTTATTCTTTAATTGAGAAAGAAGAAAAAAAAAACAGTAAGAAAGATAATAATTTTATCACTATGAATGTATGTGCATAAACAAAACGCAAGCTACTTAAGCGAGAAATAATGACAATTCTAATAGCATTAGTAATGAAATCGACATTCACAATAGCGATAATGAAATGATCATGTTAAGAATGACAGTGATAATAATAGTGGTTACTATAACACAGCTGGAATAATAATAATAATATTAATAATAATAATAACGAAAATAATTCTGTTAGATAAGCGATAACATTGAACGCTGAGAATGGTGAGAAATTTGTCGGTGGGGAAAAAATTAATGAAACGAAAGTAATGAGTGATTAAAGATCAGTTGAAATTTTATCTGCATCGCCTGAGAACTTGATCAGCTCAAAAGTGATATTTGATTGATCGGTTGAGTAAACATTTATAAGTAATAAATGAATGAGTTTTCATAATTAGTTTTGTTGAAGTCATACTATCAACACTGAAATAAGCGAAACTGAATGACTAGTGTACTGAACTTGAATTAGTACGTGAAATATTGAACGAAGAATAATACTACTGGAAAGGTGAAATGAATAAAAATATCGAAATATATTGACAATGAGATTGGAAATCAATCGATTTTAGTAGTGAAAATAATTATTATTCAGTTTTGTAGTTGAGGATCAAAATGATCGCAATTCAAATTTAATATTTCATCATCTGTCAGTGAAGAGATAAAACAATCAAATTTACAACCCACAACCAATCACTATAGAAATTACCTTACTGCTTGTATACATATGGATTCGGTGAATTGGTTGGACGGAAGATTTATCGTGCTAACATCGCTGACTGTGCCGAAGGAAGGGTATCAAGGAAGAGAAGATGTGACATTGGCGATAATAGAAAGGCATGAACTGCCAATGAGACGTTTTACTTGGTGATCAAACGAATGGATAAATTAGAAAATACATAAACAGACAGAATGATTCTTGTTCAAACGTTCGTCTAATCAACCAATTTCTGAACCTCAGCCAGCTAGAACTGGCCAGACCCTTGAAGTTTATTCGAAATAACAAGCCCAAGCCAAGCTGGTCTAGTCTACTCATTCCGCAATCGAATGTTCATCACTGAACGGTACTTGAGGAGCAGAATACATTGAGAATGTGATCAAAACTCGAGCTAAAACACAAATAATACCTAAATATGCAAATCAAAAGAATGAAAAAACGCTGACTGCTGTTGTATTATGGTCACACTTAAGAAATTCTATTAAAAAATAAACGAAAATTGGACGCGTGAAAATTCATCTGCTCAAACATCCGTCTATCCACTTAACCGTCTCTCCATTCATCAATCCATTCCAGTCACAAATACATTACAAAACAGAACGCTGCGAAATACTTCCTTTTCCAGGCATCGTGAAACGAGTTTTGAGTTGAATTTTATGGACGAAACAATCGAAAAAAAAATGTTTTAGCATTATGTAGATGTATGACATTAATAGCATTATAGCCTCAGGTGATCACAGCGATTGAATAAATTCTTGATAACGAGATTGATGATAAGCAAAAAAACCTATGAGACCAGCATTGTCAGAAAACGATGATAATCGATTTTTGAGCTAGACTTTCGCCTATG